CCTCTCCCCCCCCCCCCCCCCCCCCCCCCCCGCTCAGTAACACGGGTTGGTTATTGTAACCTTCTTGGAAGTCTTGAAATCAGGAAATGCAAGTTTTTCCAATGTTCTTCTTTTGTTTTCAGTATTGTTTTGTTTATCCTGGGTCCTTTTTGTCTCCACATAGATTTTAAAATCAGTTTGTCGGTTTTTACAAAAATGCCTCGTGGGATGATGACTGAGAGGGTGCTGGCTCACGGGGCAGCCGGAGGCAAAGGTGCCCGGCTGTGCCCGGTCCTCTGGTCAGCGCGCTTGGCGTACGTCCCCGTTTATGGAGGTCTTGACTTGCTGTCACCGTTGTTTCACAGTTTTCATTGTATGGGACTCGATAGATCTCTTGTCAGATTTCTCCCTCCATGTTTCATAGTTCTGATGCTGTTTCAAATGGTAGCTTTTACATACCAGTTTTAGTTATTTAATGTTATTTATTTTTGAAAGACACAGTGCAAGCAGGGGAGGGGCAGAGGGAGAGGGAGACACAGAATCCGAAGCAGGCTCCAGGCTCTGGGCTGTCAGCACGGAGCCCAACGTGGGGCTTGAGCTCATGAAGGGTGAGATCACGACCTGAGCCGAAGTCAGACGCTTCACTGACTGAGCCCCCCAGGCGCCCCTGCTTTCAGCTATTTTTGTATACATTTGATTTTTGTATGTTGACCTTATATCCTGCAACCTTGCTAAATTCACTTCTTAGTTCTTGTAGTTTGTTTTGTTAATTCTCCAGGACTTTAGAATCAGCTTATCTGATTCTAAATCATGTCGTAGGCAGATAATGACAGTCTTATCTCTTCGTTTCCAATCTGTGTATTTTTGAGTTTTGGAGAAAATCGGGATTTTACAACTTTTTGCTAGACCCATAGAGTAGATGTTGGGTTCTCCCTCTCTAGGACATTTTTAAAAACAAAAAGAAAGAAGATCATTAAGTCCTTCTCTCCAAGAGTATCAGACGTTTGTGTTTTAGACACTGTCTAGTGGCCAGTGGAGGAGACAGACGTGTAAACAAGTAATTATAATTTAACAGGTACATGGAGTGAGCCCCCAGCGCCCGGGAGCCACGTGTGTCGGGCACTTCACAGCAGGGCCATTCAGCCGCAGGGGAGAGCATCGCGTGCTGTCTGCCCCCCTGGACCTGGGTGACAATGGAGTCCTCAGTGTACATGCAGTTACCCCTCCCTGTACTGAGAAGTTCCAAGTCCTCTCCTGATGGGTTGTGTTTACTTTATTATGACTGAGAGTCTGAAAGGAATGCGTCCTTATCTGTAGTTCTTTTTAGAGAGAGGGAGAGAGAGAATCCTAAGCGGGCTCTGTGCTGTCAGCACAGAGCCTCACGCAGGGCTTGAACTCCCAAACCGTGAAATCATGACCTGAGCTGAAGCTGGGCTCTCAGCTGACTGAGCCACCCAGGCACCCCTGTTTTGTTTTTTCTTTTTTTTTTTTTTTTACGTTTGTTTATTTTTGACACAGAGACAGAGACAAAGCATGAGTCGGGGAAGGGCAGAGAGAGAGGGAGACACAGAATCTGAAGCAGGCTCCAGGCTCCGAACTGTCAGCACAGAGCCCGCTGTGGGGCTCAAACCCACAGACCGTGAGATCATGACCTGAGCCAGAGTCGGACACTTAACCAACTGAGCCCCCCAGGCGCCCTTGCTTTCTGTCTTTTTAAAGAAGAAACCTTGCGTGTTCCCGCGGCAGCCTGTGCTGCTGGCGCGACACCTCGCGAGCCGAGGCCAGGGCGGCGCAAGCAGGGTACGCGGTAGCGTGTTAGTCTCAGCCCCAAATCTTGCTGTGCTCAGAGAGTCTTGGGAGGGGGCCCGCCACCCTGTTTCTGTGAGGCTCTGTTCTGATTAAAAGCATCGTAGCATGTGTCCCCTTCTTTGCCCTTCTCATAGTGACCCGAGGTCTGTACATTCTCCCACCAGGTGCATTTGGGGGGAGCACGCTTTTGACCTCGTAGCCCCCGCCTCTTTCCCAGGGTCTGGGGGGTGCGGGGAGGGTGCGTGCACTGGTGTAGCTTCCCTTGAGCCTGCTTGTCATGCTGGGGCTCCTGTAAATGAGACAAGGTTGCTCCCCTTTTACAGACAAGAGATGTCTGCCGGCCACCAGGGGCTGAATGATAGTAGGAAATTCTTTTGGTAGAGAATTGCCTATTTTACTGGTAATTTAGGAGACAGTAACCGAGGCCAGCGCCCTTTGTTCCGGAGGCGAGGAGTCTTGCTCCTGGGGGAAGACAGCTGAAAAACCAGTAACAGCAGCAGCGGCTCCCGCTTTCCTTGTGCCCGGCCTGCCGTGGGTGCCGAGCACGTGGGCTGCAGGCCTGGCTCGGGGTGGCCGGGTGGGCCGGGGCTCCCGCAAGCGCATCCACTGCCGGCCCGGCGCCAGGAGCCTGACCCGCGTCCTTCCTCTGTTGCTCATCGTTGCTCACAGAGGCCCAGGCTCCTCACGTCTCACACTCGTGACCTCCCTCTTCCTATCCCCCTATTTCAAAAAGAGTCTCTTCCCTTCTCGAATTGAGCACTCCCGCAGAGCGAAGCGGCCGGCCGGCGCGGGGTAGGAACCGAGTCCGTGTTCTTGACCGAGCGAGGGAGCGTGTCCAGCTCCGCCTGGGAAACACGCCCGTCGGGCCAGCACATTGGTCTGGCGGTGGGTTTTCCATTAATACCACTCTTGGTGAGGAGACCTCGCCTGTGCCCAGTGTGAGAAGCCCCCCCCCCCTTCACACCTGATTCCTGAGGGCCTGGGGGCGGGCAGGGCACCGGGCCCACGGGCTGTAGAATCGAAGGAGCCGGTCCCTGCCTCCGCTCACAGACCGTGGGATGGTAAGTGCAGACGACCCTTGCACAGCTCAGGAGTCAGGGGCGCCGGCCCCCCGTCCCCAGGCAGTAAAAAACCCACGTGGAACTTTTGATTGCTCACAAACTGAAACTACCAGCAGCCTGCTGTCCACCAGGAGCTTTACGGGCACCATAAAGTCGATAGACGCGTGTTTTGCATGTTATACGTATTACATGATATTATTCTTACGATGAAGTGAGCCAGACAAAAGCCAGTGTTACGAAAACCATGAGGGAGGCTGCAGTCCACTCGCAGGCCTGTGCCGTGTGGTCCAGCAGCATCCTGTGAAGTAGACTCTGCTTTCTGGACTCTACGTGGGGGGTTTGACAGAAATACGGAACAAAAATCTTAGCCGACTGATTTTGAATGTTAGAAGGATAGTATTCATCAGCATCCCAGGAAGGACCTTTTCTTCCATTTAGTAAAACCAGGAAAGTGGTTTGAGTTTACAACTTTACTGAGATATGTTTCACATACCATAAACTTCGTGTATTTAAGCTATACCATTAAGTGGTTTTTCATACATTCACAGAGTTGTGAGGCCGTCAACACAGTCTGATCTTAGAATTTTCCGGTACCCCGAGAAGCAGCCCCATGCTCATTACCCTGCCCTGCCCCTACCCCTGCCCCCAGCCAGCCCCAGAAAGCCCCAGCCTCCTCTGTCTCCAGAACGTGCCTCGTGAACAGTCCGTGTGAACAGAGCCCTGCAGCGTGAGGACCTTGTGCTTGGCTTTGCTCGCTGGGCATCGCGTGTTCAGGGTTCCTCCGTGCTGTGGTGTGTGTCTGTGTCTCGTGCCTTTAGTTTATTTTCTTTAAGATGTATTTTTAAGTAATCTCTGTACCCAGCGTGGGGCTCGAACTCACAACCCTGAGATCAAGAGTCGCATGCTCTTCCGACTGGGTCAGCCAGGTGCCCCCCCAATTCCTTTTTAAAAAATTGTTGGTTAAAAGTATGGGAAGAGCCCAGTAAATACACACACACACTGGAGAATTACTCAGCGATCAAAAAGAATGAAATCTTGCCATTTGCCACAAGGTGGACGGAACTAGAGTGTGTTATGCTAAGTGAAATTAGTCAGAGAAAGACACACATCATAAGACTTCACTCATATGTGGGATTTAAGATAACAAAACAGATGAACATAAGGGAAGGGAAGCAAAAAATAATATAAAAACAAGCAGGGGACAAAACATAAGAGACTCTTAAAGACAGAGAACAAACAGGGTAGCTGGGGGCTCGTGGGGGGGTGGGCTAGATGCACAAGGGGCGCTGGGGAGGACACTTGTTGGGATGTCCGCTGGGGGACAAGCATCGGGGATGGATCGCTGGATTCTACTCCTGAAATCATTGCACTAGATGCTAACTAACTTGGATGTAAATTTAAAAAAAATTTTTAATTAAAAAAATCCGTTCACCCTTCAAAACAAATTGCTGGTTAATGTGTCCTTATACAGACAGACCACCTTTGCTTACCTGTGTGTCTGTTGATGGACTTTGGGGTTGTTTCCACCTTGGAGCTGTGATGATTAATGCGATTGTGGACGTTCACGTACAGGCTTCTGCTTCGATGTGTTTTCAGTCCTCCTGGGCCGTACCTGGGAGGGGAACCGATGGATCTGGGCTCCTCTGGGTTCAGTATTTGGAAGAACTGCCAAACCGTTTCCGCAGCGGCTGTGCGCCCCATCCAGCAGCGCACGGGGGTTCTGATCCCTCCACACCCTCACCGGCACTTGTCACTTGTCACAGTTTTGCTTTTCTCCATCCTCGTGGGTGTGAGGTGGTGTCTCATTGTGGCTTTGATTTGAATTTCCTCAATGACTAATGTTGAACCTTTTTTCATGTGATTATTGGCCATTTGCACGTCTTTAATTTCAAGAACCGTCCATTCAGATCTTTTGTCCATTTAAAAAAACTTTGTATTGGGGCGCCTGGGTGGCTCAGTCAGTTGAGCGTCCAACTTCGGCTCAGGTCATGATCTCACGGTTCGTGGGTTCGAGCCCCATGTCGGGCTCTGTGCTGACAGCTCAGAGCCTGGAGCCTGTTTCAGATTCTGTGTCTCCTTCTCTCTCTGACCCTCCTCTGCTCATGCTGTCTCTCTCTCTCTCACTCAGAAATAAATAAAAAACATTTAAAAAAAAAAACAAAAAAAACAAAAAAACTTTGTTGTTGTTTTGTAAGAGTTTTTGGGATATTCTGGCTCCAGGTCCTCATCAGATACATGATTTGCAAATTCTTCTCCCCTGTGTGGGTGGCCTCCTCCCTTTCTTCGTGTTGTCCTTGGGAGCCCAGAAATTCTTCCTTTGAGTAGGAGAATTTGATGCTGTGGGTTTTATTTTTTATTTGTCCTGGGGGAAGTGTGAGATGACTTTGATAGGTGCTCCAGGCAGCAAGGTCAGGTTGAGAGAAGGCAGGAGGGCTTGAGCCAATGAGTATTGAACCTGGGGGTGTGGCGGGTGATTTTATGGCCAACAAACAGCTCCTGAACTTCTTAGTGTGTTTTGAACTTTGCAGCCACTTACACTGGCTGCACCTTCCGCAGAATTGCCCAGCAGCCAGCTTGGACTAGCCAATGAACTTGCATTGGTAAGGAGTCCCCTTGTTTGGGTCGGTTCATGATTCAGGACTCATTGAGCATCTAGGAGAAATAAGAGAAGGGCGTTTATGCTTTTTCCGTTCCTTTAAGAGCTCAGTGCAGCCCACTGACCTCAGCATCGCTCTCCTCGGAGAGCCCTGATTTCTGGTCTTGGTGCCTGTCGCTCAGAGCTTTGTGTGTCCAGTTGACTCTGCAGATTTGCGCTTACCTTCTCTTCTATGTTGTGTACCGTGTCCCTGACTCCTCAAGACTGTGAATTTCCCAAGGACGAGAGTCATGCCTGCCCCGGTATGTGCGCCCAGATATCCAAGTCCCACCTGTGCACTGATAGTGATTGACTCTGGGTAAAGGTACGTGTGATCCCAAGTGCAAAGATTCCTGAGCCATCAGGGAAGTGTTGTAGGTGTAAGTTCGTCTTATCTTGATAAGCTGGCTTCTGGCAGATTTGAAGGTCACCCAAGAGTCATTTTTAAGCTTAATACGGACACATTTGAGTTTTTAAAAATGTGCAGCAGGAGGGTTGTTCTAAAGCGCCCCTAGAATGGACCGAGTTCATCTAGTCCCCTGCAGGTGAGACCCTGGGCCCGGTGTGGTAAGCAGTCCGCGGCCAGGCGGGGAGCCCCGGGCTCTGCTGCTCATCCTGCTCCCAGGAGACCCTGAAGGTTTCACCGACAGGACTTCTTACTCAGCTCAGGCCGCCGTAGACTGGGTGGCCTTCTTCTCGTAGTTTTGGAGCCTGGAGTCCGAGACCAGGCTGACAGCCCATTTGGCTTGTGGCGAGTTCTCTCCGGGCGTCCCATGCGCTCCCGCGGCCCGTCCTCAGCGTGTGCACGCCTGGGGGGCGGGGTGCAGGGGGAGCCCGCTGTCCCGTGTCTCTCCCAGTGAGGGCTCTACATGGGGACCTCATGGTCCCCAGAGGGACCTCATTCAGCCCTCTTCCCGCCCAAAGGCCTATCTGCAAGTGCCACTGCCCTGGGATTAGGGCTTAGCCAGGTGATTTGCGGGGCACACACATCGATCCCCAGACTCGTCTGCAAAACGCACGTGGAAGTGCAGGCGTTGAGGTCCTCTCTATCCTGTCGTTAGGTCTCCGCAGGCAATGATTTGCACTACTTCCTATTTTGACTTCTCTGATGGGCTCCCCCCTGCATTCTCCCAGGCAGCGGAGAAGCGAATAGGTTTGTTGTTAAATGGAGCTCAGTGTATTCCTTCACTAAGTGCTTTTGCTTTCAGGCACCTCTCTGTGCTGTTGTAAGCACTGAGGCTGCAGTCCCTGCCTTCCTGGAGCTTCCATTCTCGGTGAATTCTATTAAAGAATAGAATTACAGGGTGCTGGGTAGTAGTTGCTAAAGAGACAGAATGTCAGGAATGTGGGCTTGCGGTTTTCAGTGAGACGCTGTTTGAGTGGAGAGGGCAGAGCGTGCGTTTAATCCGGCGTGGCCGGGCTGGACGCCGAGACCCTGCTGAGGAGAGCTCCTCGCTGCAGAGATCCTACAGCAGGCCTGGGGCCTGCCCGCTGCATGCCCCCCTCCTCCCGCTGCCCCCTCATCCACTTCTGTGCCAGACGCTCTGCGCTAATTAATGATTTCACAGCCCTTTTTAAACCGCCACCCAAGGACGATAATAAGGAGTTCCATTTCGCACTCCCACTGCCCGAATCTGCCGAGGGCGTAAAGCAGCCCCGAGACCGGCGGGTGCCCCGAACGTGCCCAAGCCCCTTCTTCCCCGAGCCAGCCTTTCCTCTGCCACCCCGGCCCGTGCTCTCCTTCTCCACCTCTCTTGCTCACCTCCTATGCGGCCCTCCCGTCCTCTGCTTCCCTGCGCCATGTCACGTCCCCCTCACCGCACCGCCCACAAGTCGGTCTGGCCCTGCGGGACCCCGGCCTCACTGGGCCTTGGCATGGGGCTCATGCTGCAGATCTGGGGCTGCCTCCATGGCTCAGGTCAGGCCCTTGGCACGCTTACAACCCTTGATGGGTTGTGGGGATTGTATCACTTACCGGTCAAATCGTTAAGGGTGCAGCGTGCTCCAGGGAAGGGGGTGGCCAGCAGTTGGTGGAACCTCCTGTCGGTCATCACCATCTCTGACCTGACCCCTTTCCAGGTGTCCAGAAGGTCAGAGCCACCCAGCTTCCCTGGCGTCACCAAGAACCGGAGCCTTGAGGCCCGTTCCTGAGTGGTTCAGCCCCCAGGGGCAGATGGGACGGGAAAGAGCAACAGAGCAGCTGCATTGTGCCACTTGACCTTGTGAGTCCAGTGGCTTTGATGGGTACATCCTTGCTCCCCACCTCCTGCCCTCAGCCCCTCTGTGACATGACCAGGGTCAGCCTTGGGGCTGGAGGGAATCCCGGCCGTGGCCTCATGAGTCCAGGCCGTGGCCTTGTGAGTCCAGCCCGTGGTTCTCAGCCCATGTGGTTGTGTGGCTCCGTCTTGAATAGCTCATATCTCGTTGGCTGTCTGGTCACTCAGGCTTGTGTCCGTGGTTTTGTCAGCTGTGCAGAGTCCTGTATTTTGTAGTGGGTGCTGTGTGTGTGTGTGTGTGTGTGTCTGTGTGTGTGTGTGTCTGTGTGTGTGTGTGTCTGTGCCTGTGCAGAAACACCCCTTTTATCCAGCTGGCCTGTGGGGGAGGGGAGAATGTCAAGACATTCCAAAGGCGGAGGACACATCCTTTCCTCTCAAGGTGTGTGCCGCTTAGCTGGGAAGCCGGAGATGTGGAGGAATATTGATTTAAAAACTCTAGAAGAGTATCGACCCCAGTGCCCTTTACTACACAAGTCAGGTCTTTGTGGAATGACTCCTGGGGAAGTGGCCGTGTCTCGGGTCACGTCGGGTCCGGCAATGTAACTCAGAGCGAGTGGTTGGAATGCTTGTTTGTTTCTCAGCGATTTCGTTGTAACTCACCAGTAACACGGACTGAACTTGTGAGGCTGAGGTTACTCCTGCCACAGGGGAAAGGTCGGCCACCAGAGACTAAATCAAGGAGAGTTTCCTGGGATTCCTATTTCCCATCAGATTTTGATGGTGGAGTTGGGTCAGTGCCAGTCTGTTAGGGGGCTTTTCTCGATCTGCTCTGTCAGCCGCGATTCTGGGAGCCCTGGACCTGCCTCAAGAAGCCACCCGGCCCTCTGTTCCGGCCATAAGTGCTCAGAAGCCCTTTGGGTTTGGAGGCCCATGCCCTGTTGGGGAGGTCCCCTCTGTCCCTGTCCTGCACTACCCAGCACTCAGCATACCTCCTGAGGATCCCTATGGATGAGTCCAGGCTGTCGGACCCCCTGAAAGCCCCAGCATCTAGGGGACAGGAGTAGGGACAGCCTGGAGGCCACCGAGAGCACCAGGGGATGGCACACGGTTTCTAAGGGTGTGTCTGTAGCCTTCACGGGAGGAAAACTGAGCAGACCTGCCACCCACACGACGGGCAGTAAGCACAGCACAGGCGTCCCTGCGCTGGAGCGTGAAGCAGTGGTGACCTCAGGCCCACGTTTGAGGGTAGAGAGCAGCGGGTTTAGAAGAAAAGGCGGAGGGGCGCCTGGGTGGCTCAGTGGTTAAACATCTGACTCTTATTTTGGCTCAGGTTGTGATCTCACGATTCATGAGATCGAGCCCCATGTAGAGCTCTGCGTTGACAGTGGAGCCTGCTTGGGATTCTCTCTCTCCCCTCTGGCCCTCCCCCTGCTCACATTTTCTCTGTCTCTCAAAATGAACAAACTTTAAAAAAGAGAGAAGGCAAGGCCTGGCCTGCGTTCTTGCGAGCTTCGACGAGGAGGAGCTTTGGGAGGGGGAGTTTTACTCAGGACACCCCCTCCCCTGGGTGCTGGATAAGAGTCTGAGGGTCAGACTCCCCTGGCCTCTGGATGCCATCCTTCCCCATCCCATCTGCAGCCAAGAGCACACTTGCATGGGGCACTGACTGTGCTGTTCCTCTTCCTCCAGATGCTTTTCCTTCTCACATCTGGGGGCCTCACCCCGGGAGGGCGTTCCCACTGCCATCTTTGTGGGAAGAAGGGGATGGGACGAGGGAGGACCTCAGCACGCTTTTTCTGTGGAAGTTCTTTTCAGGCCTTTGCTGCCTCTCCCGTTAGTTACCCTCGGGGAGAAGGCTTCTTTCCTCCCTCACCCACCCCTTCTTCAGCTTCCTGGAAACGAGGAAGGGTGGAAGAGAGGGTGGAAATCCCCACTGCATCTCCGTCTGTGTGCGGTGGCTGCAACAGGGTTTGGGTGAGGGGCTGGGAGAGGCCGAGAGACTGCTGAGCCCGTGGTGAGGGCCTAATTGCTCCTCGGCCTTGAGCTTGCCTGTAATTGTGGTTTCTGGGAGCCAGCGCGTCCTGGAAATCTGCTGGAACAGCAGAGATTTGGGGTTTCCGCCTGGGATTGACTTGGATTTTCCACTTGGAACAGCTTGCCCAGCACCCACTTTGGGTCGGGGGGAGGGTGAGTCCCTGAAGCCCTGGTGGTTAGGACCGGCTTCCAGCTACGAGGCCTGCCTTGGGGGCAAGAGGCTGTGTGCCCTGAAACCCGGGGCGGTTTTGCAAAGCCCAGAGAGGTCGCAGGCTCTGGAAGGCCCGGAGCTGCAGGCTGGGAGAGCAGGTCCGCCCCACCCTTGGGTGGGGACCTAGTGTCTCTGCCCTTAGTTTCCCCGCCTGTCACTGACTTGGGCGTGCTTCTGCTTTACAGGGTCCTCCATAATGATAGGCGGGGGGGGGGGGGGGGGGGGGGGGGGGGGGGGGGGGGGCATGCTACACAATCCAGGGGAGGGCTCCGCTCCATTCCCACGGCGGAAACAACAGCAGTGATCATAGTACATGACGTATCTTGAGCGTTCATGGCGTGCCCTGTGCAAAATGCCTTCATGCCATGGCACCATTAAATCCCATAACAATCCCGTGCGGTAGTCCCAACCTCTGCTCCAGTGCAGACACCTGAGGTTGAGAGGTGAGCCGTTCTGCCTGTGGTCGCAGGGCCAGTGTCCGCAGCAGGATCACCAACCCAGGGAGCAGATCCCAAAGCCCATGCCTTTGGCTGGCAGGTGTGTAGACCGTACCCCACATTGTGTTTTACGTGTTGGCCGGAAGCACCCAGAGCCAGCCTGGCATGGGACTGCTGTCGAGCTTGGGGTCAGGGGGTCCGCTGCCAGTCCTGGCACAGGGCGTCGCTAACCCAGGTCTTCTCCACCTGCAGCGTCCCCGTCTGTAAAACACGCCTGTGCAGAGTTCTTCTGAGGGCCAGACGAGGTACTGCCCAGCTCTGCACCTGCCACCCAGCAGGTGCTTAGTAAACGCTAGTGGAGTCTAAGTCCACGTAAGGAGAAGCCAGCCAGCGCTGCCATCTGGCACTTGTGATCCGAGGTGTCAGAGCGCTGACATGAGTAGGGGACAGTCTGCGGCAAAGTGGCATGGACAGCCGGGATGCTCCCGCCGGGGGAGGCGGCATTGGCCGCCTGGGGTCATGTCCCAGCCTCGCCTCAGCATGGTGCTCCTGGCTCCCGCGGTGCGGCTTCCTCATCTGCAAAGTCACAACACCAATAGTCCCTCCCACGGGGTGGCTGTGATGGGTGGGACCGGTAGGAATGGCTAACGTTTAAAGAGTTCTTTCTGTGTGAGCGTTTCATTTTTGCATGTTTAACTAATTCCGTCCTTTTTTTTTTTTTTTTAAACGTTTTGATTTCTGAGAGAGAGAAAGAGAGAGGCAGTGTGAGCAGGGGAGGGTCAGACAGAGAGCCAGATACAGAATCAGAAGCAGGCTCCAGGCTCTGAGCTGGCCGACAGCACAGAGCCCAATGCGGGGCTCGAACCCACGAACTGTGAGATCATGACCTGAGCAGAAGTCGGACGCTCAACCGACTGAGCCACCCCAGTGCCCCTAAGTAATTCTGGCCTAACAACAACCCCAGGAGATGGACAGTGTTAGTCTCCCCATTTTGAGGGTGGGCCAGCAGGGGCACAGAGCGTGGAGGTAACAAAGGCCACGTTGCTGGCACGTGGCAGGGGCGGCACCCACACCTGGGAGGGCGCCAGGAGCCCACACCGCTCACCACACCCGTCGTCTCCCTGTGTGCTGCACGTATGCTTGTCTTGTCCTTGCTGGAGCCCGTCCATCAGCCAGTCGCAAGCATGTACGAGGGGTGTGTGCCCAGCTGCATGTCGCTAGCATGTGCTCTGTCAACAGAGTGTGTGACATGGCCCATTCGGAGCGGGGCATGATTGGCACAGGGCGGGGGGGATTGGCACTGATTCCAGACAGTGAAGTGCTAACACACGTGGGCATTAGTGATGCGTGTGGACTCAGACGTGGCAGGCGTGGGCTCAGAGCCACACAGGTCGCTGGGGAAGCTGACCAGATGGACGGGGCAGGGCGGGGGCACGCTGTCTGGATGCTGGAGTTCGGGAATGGTTGGAATTTCAAGGTTGGTGGTTCATCATTCAGCACTTGTGTTGAGTCTGCATGCACCTGGCCCGATGGAGAATCATCAGTGTTGAGTCCCACTTGCCACTGATTATCTCCTGGTCGGTCCTGGTTTGCTTTTTTTTTTTTTTTAATGTTTTATTTATTTCTGAGAGAGAGAGAGAGACAACGTGAGCAGGGGAGGGTCAGAGAGAGAGGGAGACACAGAATCTGAAACAGGCTCCAGGCTCTGAGCTGTCTGCACAGAGCCCGACCCAGGGCTTGAACCCACGAACCGTGAGATCATGACCTGAGCCGAAGCCGGATGCTTAACCGACTGAGCCACCCCAGCGCCCCATTCCGGGTTTGCTTCTTAAAGACTGTGTTTTGCAGAGTGGCCACTGCCAAGTTAAAGTACTGTTATCGCCCTGCTGGGAGGTGGGCGGGGGGGGGGGGGGGGGGGGCGGCTTGTCGATGTGACAACAAGACTCATTGTGATGTGATTTGTGCCTCTGTGGAATGAGAGTGTTTCCAGGCCCCCAGAAGGGACCTGCAGACACCGTCTGGCTTGTGCACCCCTCTGCCCGTCACCACTCACCCACACCCCCGCCCTTGCACCTGTGCACACACACCGTGCTCTGCTTGTGAGGAAACCAAGACCCACAACTAAGGTGACAGCCGGGGCTTCACACCCTGGGATGCTCTGCTGAAAGGCTGTGTGCGGCCTGATCATAAGCTCTGGGTGGGATTCGGTGCTCAAATGTAGCTGTGAAGGTCAAGTGCTTATCATTTCTGTTCACCTGCGGGGGGAGGGGGCCGTTCTCCCGGCTCCAGGGATCTTTGTCTTCTTAACGCCCCTTTCACAGTTGTGCAGCCCTGTCAATAGGAGAGATTTCATCCAGTAGGACAGGGTAGGAAGCAGCCCTGTCTCCCCACTAAACGGCCTCTGAGGGTGTCAGCCCCAGCTGCAGACCCAGAAGAGCCCAGTGGGCAGGGCCCGTGTGACCCTCTTCCGGGCTCCCTCCCGGGGGGGAGGCCCCGGCCCATCCACACCAGGGGTCTCGTGGGGGTGCAGTGGCTCCGAGGAGCCCAGAGGGGTCTCTGCTGATGGGCCTGGCATGAGGGCCTCGGGCTGGCTGGCCTTCCATCAGCTTCCTGCCCGGCCTTCCTTCCCAG